GGAGATGGTCCAGGGACGAATGGGACTATTCGCCTGGATGAACAGTTCAAACTGGAAATCTAGAGGAGATCGTCCAGGGACAAATGGGACTATTCATCTGGATGAACAACACTTAGAAAAATTTTTTCTCACCCTTTGTTCATTCTATTTGCTCCTGGAGGTGTATAAGTGATCTGATCATCCGTACGAACAGAGTTCATCCTGTACAATCAGTATTAAAAATTATGAATTTTAAAGTTCTCCCCCGGTGTGTGTGCTGAGTTACTTAATTATAATCACACTCTCTCTGACTCAAGTAAAACAAATACAGACACTAAGTTACAAAAAATAATAAGGAGATCTTTGATTTGAAGTCTTTAATAATCTGAAGTATGATTTTCTTGAAATGTTAGTACACACAAGAGCTAAAAAACAATTCTTTCAAAATGTGTTAGGAGAAAGTAATACTCAAAACAATAATTTTTAGAATCATCAAAACATATAAGTTTCTAGAATGTGAAGCATGCAAAGCTAAGTAGCAACTCTCTCAGCAAACTCCCCCTTTTTTATGATGGCAAAATAATAATTATTTGTTTAATTTTCAAATTCCTAAGTTTCTCCCCCCCTGAGTAAATAAGCATGTGAGAATAAGGGGCATATTTATTTAACTAATCCCAATTTTTAAATTTTTACAAAAACGTACAAACATAAAAATACGAACAACACGTTAAAACACTTATGAATAACACATTAAAAAAATGCTTCATGTAATATTTCTCTCCCTTTTTGACAACACTAAAAAGAGACAAAGAGACAAACCAAACTAATCTAGAAATGTAAGAAGTCATATGAAAAGTCTTTGATAATCGATCCTTTAAAGAGATTGAATTATATTTGCAAATAGAAATTAAATGTATTAGAGAAATAGAAAGATTCATATTATTTAAGTTTAGATAAAACATAGACAGAAAAAAATATCAAAATCATGAATCAGTTTAGACAATGAAATAAGCAAAATTATTGCAAAGTAGATGAATAAAAATTTTAAATATTTCAAAATTCAATACAAAATAAAATTATATAGAAGATTAATTTGAATTTGAAGATTAAAAGATTGAGGAAAGAGTATATACTTATGGTTCTTTGCATATCTTTACAATTTTTGGGGCACACTTTGTGCATCTTTTTATTTTTGAGCTAATTTTGTGCCTCTTTCTTAATCTGCGAACCATTTCGCATTCTTTTGATTTTTATACATTTGTACATTTTCAAGTGTATTCTTGATCTTTCCAAAATCAATAATCTAATATCTCAAATTTCTCTAAGTACAACAATATTTATATTGGTAAGAGAAATATAAAATTAGAAAATATCCTAATAGTATTAATAATATAAAAATTATGTTAGTCTAATAAAAGACATGAGATTGACATTCTTTAACTAGATTAAGTTATAATCACTACTTAAATTTTTGAAAAATTGAATTTTCTAATGAAATCAATTTTGTATTGAAATTCTAAATATATCACTTGTGAGATCAATATTTAAGGATGATCATATAGGCTAACACTCATTTCTGAAATGAAATCAAAAATAGTAAAACAAGACAGGATAACTTTTATTGATATCATTGGTAGAAGATAGTACATTGCATGGATGATATCAATACAAAGACAAAAATACATAAACACATAAAAACTAATAAATCACATTACAAAAAAAGATAAAACATAAACATCAACATCTCATAACATGACATGAAACGTAAAAATATAACAGCTAATAATTATGTCACATCACATCTGGTAGAGAGAATAATAAAGAAGTACAATCATCACTCAGAGGGGCCCTGATCTGGAGGAGGAAGTGGCTGGTTGAAAAAATTATAATAGCTACTCATCATAGTCATATTCGAGCCTATAGCATCCAGTTGGCCTCGCATCCAACCCATGTCTTGCTGGTGCTGCACGTCCTGCTGCTGTAGATGAGTTTTAATATAATCAAAGCGATGTTCAAAATTAGTCTCAAGACGGTCAAAACGCTGGACCAAATCCTGAATGTTTTGTCTAACAGTAGGTGTAGGTGAAGGTGTAGCTACTTATCCTCCTCAGAGTAACTACTTAGTACATGTGGATCTCTATAAAAGATTGCTTGAATGATCCATCATTGTAGTAGATAGGCTCTTCTAGATTTTGAACTGGATGGACTAGGTCATATTTATTCTCCAAATTATATGCCACAATATGTCCTAAGGCTATATTTTTCTTTCTCCTGTCGGAGACATGGCCAATCTTAGAAAGTTCATAAATATAATCAATGATCAGTTAGGCTTCATCTATTGGTTGGCTTGTCATAATCAAATAAGTTTTTTTTTTTGAAAAATGCAGAATTGCAATTAAAAATGAAAAGGAAAACTATTACAAACTATTATGTGATATGTAACCTATCACATTCCTCCTTTAAAAGAGAAAAAAAAGGAGGAACCTTATTGTTACTAAGATCTTCCCAAAGAAAATCTTCAAGTAGAGCAAAGTTAGCACAATAGTGTGCTAACTTATTACAATTTCTATTAGTAAGTGAAAAAGAATGTTACCAAATCCATCCAAAAATGAAATATCTTCAACCTCTTCTTTGTATAACAGCCGAGCGTCTTTATTAAAAGATTTTTGTAGAAGTTTGAAATGTTGAAATTATCACCTTCTATAATAAGACCCTTTGCATCCAACATCCAATTGTAGATAAAATTCTTCAATGAACGAATGGCCATAAGTTCTAAATAGCCAATATCCCAATGGAAGCATTTGATTCCAAAAGCAAGTAAGAATCTTCCTTTAGAATCTCTAAAAACTCCACCTATACCTCCATTGTAGTTATTGGTTAATGCAGCATCAAGATTTACCTTAATCCATTCTGGGGGAGGGGGATGCCAAAAAGAATTCAGCCTGGAAGGCTGGTTAGTATCCTAGTGATCCAAGAATAGATTTGAAGAAGCAATTGAAGCATAACTAATAGCATTTCCGGCAATAAAGTTCAAACTCCATTCATTCTTACCATGTTTGATTGAATTCCTACTCTTCCATGAAAAGTAGACTAGAGAGCAGTATAAATTTGCCAGAGATTTATTATGCACAGATAATTTTTCCAAATGATACTTACAATCTTTTGCAGATGTAAACAGTGGCCATGTAAATCCCCATATATTGAGAATACTTATAACTTGCTGCAGTTTATGGCAATGAACCATGATATGGTTAGTGTCTTCATGTTCCTCACAGCCTCTATGACATAAATTATGTCCCAGTAATCTGCGATTCATTAGGAATTCATTGGTTGGAATCGCCTCATTGAGTAGCCTCCACCAAAAGCATTCAATTATAGGATTGAGCTTTAATTTTTTAAGCCATATTCCATAATCAACTGAACAGATATCATTAGATTTATAAGCTGTAGTCCTTGCCATAATGCTTTTTCCTGAGAATTTATTATTCAGTTCAATGCTATCTTTTGGAAGCGAAGAATCAATTTCAATTTGAGTAATTGTTTTCACCAACTCTAATCCAAAATGTGTATTCAACATATCGATATTCCAACATCCTCCCGAAATAAATTCTTTCAGTTTCGGTATTTCTGAAATCCCTGTGGATACAAAAGTAGGCCATTGTTGTAAACTCCTGTCAAGGATCCAAGCATCATCAAGAATGTTTATATTATCTTCTGCAGCAATTTTCCATCTTGTGATAGATATGAGAGATTGAGCACCATCAGCCAGAATTTTCCATGTGACCGATTTATAAGCTGTGTTGGATTTCATCCAGAATTTGGGACCATATCTAGCTTTCAACGATTTGTATAACAATGAGTCTTCTTCTTTTAAGAAATTCCAAGCAAATTTTGCTCTTAGAGGACCAGTTATATCACTCACTGATTTTATACTTAGCCCTCCTTCTTTCCAAGGTCTGCACATCTTTTCCCAAGAGATATAATGAAGTTCATGAAGACCTCCTGGTTTATCCCAAATAAAGTTTCTAGCAGCTTTTTCAATTTTATGAAGGATCCTTTTTGGAATTAAAGTGTGAGTAGCAACAAAAATAGGTATTGCTGCTAAGACAGATTTGGTGAGAACGATTCTCCCAGCCAAAGATATCAAATTTTTACCCCACACATTAAGTCTAGAATTAACCTTTTCCAGGATATAATTGAAATCAGAATCAAGAAGCCTTCTAAGAGCCAATTTGATGCCCAGATAAAAGACTTCTTTCACCAATTTGAATCCCCACAATTTTGTTATAGCCTTTCTCTTTCTATTTACAACAGAATTACATAAAATAATAACAGATTTCTGGTTATTTATGCGCTGGCCAGTTCTAATACAAAAATCTGAGATAATCTTCTTAAATTTTCTCATACTAGCCATGTTAGCATTGGAGAATAACAAGATATCGTCAGCATATAAAAGATGAGACACCCTGGGTGCATTTGCTGAAATTTTGATCCCTAAGTTCTCTCCCTTGTGCCATATATCATTGGATAATAATTGAGTGCAAAGGATAAACAAATAAGGGGATAGTGGACTAACCTTTTCTAAATCCCCTATAAGCTTTAATACCTTTGGAGATTTTTCCATTAATCATCAAAAAGAATTCAAGAAATTCAATACATTCCATTATGAGATTTAAAATTTTTGAAGGAAATCCCAATTCTTTTAAAAGAATTCTCAATGTATTCCAAGCCATACTATCATAGGCTTGTTCCATGTCAAGCTTAATAGCCATCCAACCTATTTTGGATTTAGAAATCTTAAGCTTATTAAACAGTTCTTGGGCTAAAAGAATGTGGTTAGATAAAGATCTACCTTTTAAAAATGCCAATTGTTCCTCCGAGATAAGATTGTTCATCACCTTCATGATTCTATTTAGGATCATTTTGGAAATAATCTTATATAATGTACCACATATGCTAATTGGACGAAAACTTGATGGAGAAGTAGGATTCAGAACCTTGGGGATGAGAGTAACTAAAGTCTATTTCCAGCTAGAGCAAATACGTTCAGTAATAAAAGCTTGCTGAATAGCTTTCCAAACGTTATTACCGGTTATATACCAGTAATGTTTGAAGAAAGAATAAGTGGTGCCATCCAATCCAGGAGAGATGTTAGAGCCGCTTTCTTTGATAACTGCAGTCAATTCACAAAGGAGAAAGATTTTTCTAATAATCTACTTTCAGCTGCTGAAATGGTTTTAAATATTGGAGGCCATCCTTCCACAAAGCCATTTCTTTCTTTCCATTTCTTTTTAAAGAAATTTAACAGAATTTCCTCAATTTCTGCTTGATCTTCAAGTAGATTACCTGCATCATTTTTCAATTGGTGTATAATATTTCCCATTCGTCTACCATTTGCAAATGAATGGAATAATCTTGAATTAGTATCATTATCTTGAATACATTTTAGCTTAGTCCTTTGCCTCCACCAGGTGCTTAACCGTGCTAAGTTCACGTTGAATTCATGAATTTTATTTCTCAACAGAAAGAGTTTTTCTGGCTCCAAACCACTTTCATTCGCTTCTTCTGATTGAATTTCAGCAATTTCAGTTTTCAAACGTTCATTGCTATCTTTAAAACATTTTAACTTTTGTCTACTCCAGTAATAAAGAGCCTTTAAAGACCTCTTGCACTTAACATTAATTATATCCATCTCATTCCCTTTGACCAGTTTGTTCCAAGATTTAAAGACAATACCTTTGGCAGCTTGAAAAGAAGCCCAGACTTCTTCAAATTTAATCTGCTTGTTTTGATATAATTTATCCTGAATGATTCTTATGATTAAAGGACAATGATCAAAGGCAATTCTAGGTAAATGTCTCACCACAGCATTCTGAATCATGTTAAGAGCCTTGTAGTTTAAAAGACACCCATCTAATCTCTCAAGAATACGTGCATTTCCACTTTTGTTATTACACCAAGTAAATTTGGGACCTATGATACCCACATCATGGAGGTCATTTCTTGCCATAAAAGCTGCCATCTCTTGGGGACCTTGATAAAAGGAGAACTTCTTCCCACCTCTCTTATCTTCTTGAGAGAGAATACAATTGAAATCCCCTCCTATTATCATAGGGAAATTTGTACTGTTGTTTTCTTCAAGATCTTCCCATAGCTTTCTTCTTAGAACTGCATTTTTGTTACCATAAATAGTAGATATCAACCATTTGCTGTTATTAAAGAGACATAATTCCCTAATCACACATTGAGAAGAAGATTTGATCAAAGAAAACTTTGCAATATTGGCTTTCCAAAAAACCATAATTCCACCAGATGCACCAACTGAGGGAAGAAGAAAGTAATCCCAATCATCTCCTAAACATTTGTTCACTTCATACCTTTCAAAGGAAGAAATTTTTGTTTCCACCAATCCAACAAAAAGAACATACCAGCTTTTAACAAAATCATTTAAGTAGAGGGAGGCTTCCCTTTTATTAGCCCCCCTACAATTCCAAAATGCAAGAGAAGTCATTTAGAAAAAGTTGGGGAAGGATCCCCACTTTTACCTTTAGGACATGTTTCAGCTTTTTTTGATCTGGTAGTAATACTCAACGGCCCCAAATGTTTAAGTTCTTTTGATAACTTCTGTTTATGAGCTAAAGGAGCTGATTTAATCAATTTCCCATCTATTACAGAATTCTGAATATCATCAACTTTGTTTTCATTCTTAATAGATTTCTTCCATTCAACTTGAGGCACATTTTTAACAGCAATACTTACATTTTCAGAAAGTTCACCTTCTTCGCTATCTTCTTCTATAAGACTAGTCTTCTCCTCTAGAATCTTTGGGACATCCTGGGTTAGAGGATTTAACCAAGTCATCTTTCCAGATATTATGAACTCCCTGTTCTACACAAACAGGATTCCTTGATTTTTCCATATATCTTGTAGAAGGATTGTTAATCAACTTGTTACCTGGCTTGTTCTTCCACCTTTTCTTATTATTGACCATTATCCATGGTCCATAATTATTCTCTTTTTCTTTCAACACCTCTTGCACTTTACCTTTATCATTATTGCTAGTGCTGTCAAAGGTAACCTTCATGACTTTAGTATTATTAACCTTCAGCTCACAATCATTTTCCATGTGCCCAATTTTCCCACAACCATAGCATAGATTGGAGACCTTTTCATATTTCACCGGTTGGAAGAATCTTCCAGAAATGCTGTCCACCCAAACACCTAGTGGAAGAGGTTTATCCAGACTGATTCTTACACATACTCTTGCGAATTCTCTTCTTCCCCACTGAAACATATTACCATCTAACATAAGGGGTTTCCCAATCATTGAAGCAATACATGCTATATTTTTCTCATCCCAACATTGTAATGGTAATTGATGCATTCTAATCCAAATAGGCGAAGAAAGTCCTTTATTGGAATTTGTAGAAAATTCAGGTGTCCACTTTTCCATACCTATTATATGCTCATTAACGAACCAAGGACCACCTGCTAGGACTTCTTCTGACATTTGTACTGATGAAAATGAGCATAAAAACCATCCTTTACCCAATGTGGTAAAGTGAAATTGCCCAAATTGGTTCCATTGTTTTCTAAGCTCCCATGCGACCTTGTAAGAATGTAACTCTCTTCCAAAGACTTTGATAACCAATGATTTAGATAATTTCTTAGAATTTATATCTTCCATTTCCTGTATTAACTTTACAGCAATCCCATCTTCAGAAATTATCACCTCCTTTTCATTGAAATCCAGATTTATGTATGGTTTTTTACTCCAAGGATTAGCAGATGCATTGTCTCCTGATTTTTTTGGCATTTCGCTAATCAACAAAGTATCATCCGTTACCATAGATGAATCCAGTTCAGAATGAAAGTTCTTGTTAACCAGATTTAGGGAACTTTCATTTATCGCACTGCGACAGAGTCCAGGGATTGCATTCGAGTTTCCAAACCGGTTAACAAATAATTTTATACCCGACGAAGAAGGATTCAACTCGGAACAAAATCAAGAGGATTTTGAATTTGGAGTAAAAAGATATACCGTTTCAGCCACAGCTTTTCCTTTGCCTTCAACATGCTTGACAACATTAGGGGATTGATCTAAAATCTCCTTAATCACCAAAGCTCCATTCCGTTTCAAAGGCGGAATATGAGGATCCATTTCGGTAACAGCTTTTCCTTTGCCTTCAACAGGCTTGAAAACATTAAGGGAATGTTCTGCTACGTCTTTTATCACCAAAGCTCCATTCCATTTCAAAGACGGAATATGAGAATCTAGGTTGGAATTCAAATTAGTCGAATCATTTTTAAGAGAATTAAGATCAGAATTACCTGAATTAGAAATAACTACTTGAAATTGTCCATCTGCTTCTTTGATCGAATTCTGCAGAAGCCGATTATTGATCATCTCCAATGATTCCTTACTATGTTCTGATGAATCTTTGCTCCCGATTTTCAAACAATCGCAGGCAGAAAGCCGGCGATCATCCACCGCCATCAGCGGCCTTAGAAGTTGCAACGAGCCAAAATTTTAAAAATTTCTCTCTCTAAAAATACGGACGTTCTCTCTCTAGAATTTAACAAAGACTTGTGGTCTTTGTTGATAAGTTAGTGTGGAAAGAAGAGGGGTAATATTTACTCAATCCCCAGCTTTAGGAATAATGGAGGTTCGAAGAACATGCTGAATGGTTCGAGCATTATGATTAAGAGTGGACACCTTAGGTAAATGAACTTCATTTCTAAACCCTTTAATAACCTCATTTATCATAGTCCAGTCAAAGTTGGAGGAAGAAGTCAATGTATGGGCTCTAATCCCTTGAGTCCTTAAGTTCAAAAATATTCCCAAATTTGCTTTTGTTATCTCTACTTTCTTCTTAAAAACATACAACCTAATCACAGTTTGGTCAGAGTTAAAAGACATATTTGCAATGAAGTAGTGGAAAGTTTTTTGTTGTAGAAGTGGACTAGACTAAGAATAAGTGTAAACTATGTAGAAGCAAAAAGTTCCATAATTTAAAAGTGATTTGTTCTTGGAGAAGGACTCTAGAGGGGGTGATCTTAGTGGATACGAACCTAGAGAAGGACTCCTCATTTTCTTTTGACAGAAAGTTTTCTCCAAGGTTTCTAGAGGGGGCTCCCTTAGCAAGTACCTTTTGCCTGTCTCTTTTGCTTGAACTAGCCCTAGAGAAGATCAAGAAGATTTAGAGGATTAAGAGTTTTTGAGGTGAATGAGTTTTGAGTTCAAGACCTTTTAATTTAAAGAAAAAACTAATTTTCATACGAACGAAAATTATTTTGTCCAGGACAAATTTGGGTTCATATGTATGAAATAAATTTTGTATGCACAAACGAATGTGTCCAAAAATGAAACAACTTTTAGTAAACATGCAAGTTACAAGGCGTTTCTTCGTACAGAATTTTGACCAAACGATCGTACAAACGAACAGGTCTTCATCCAGGACGATCAATTATTTAAGATCATTTTATGATGGTTTGAAACGTCCACCACATTGAATTGCCACGTGTTCATATGTACGAATTGAACGTTCGTACATACGATCAGAAATAAAGAAACTGATCTTACGCATATAACCATCTACATGCATACATACGATTGAGTATATATCGTCCGATTGATCGTCACAATTGTACAGATGAACAGTATTAAAAATTAAAAAATTGCATGCAAAACCATTCGAATTAACAGTTAATATGCTACATGATTTATCCTGTACGAAAAAAATTTTGTACAGACGAATTTCATACGTTGCAATTTTCATACCAACACTCATAAATCATGAATTTTGATGTGAAAGTACACAAAACAAATAGATAGGAGATTGAAAATCAAGCTTGAACAAAGTACTGAAAAACACATACATAAAATTACAAAAATTAAAAGGCACACAAATAAAAATATCAATATTACAGAAACATTTAATTAAGCGTTCAAGTAAATCACACCAAGCCTTGTTCTTAATGTACTGAAAGTATGAAAGGCTAAAAGTTTAATAAAAATGTCTGCAAGTTGATTTTCTATTGATACATGATTGAGTTCAATTTCTCCTTTGGTTACATAATCCCTTATGAAATGATGCCTAATGTCTATATGTTTGGTTCTTGAATGTTGATTAGGATTTTTAGAGATACAAATGGCACTAGTATTATCACAATAAATGAGAATTGTGCCTATTGTTAGTCCTAAATTAATTAACTATTATTTTAACCAAAGTACTTATGCCATACAGCTTCCTAAGATAATGTATTCAGCTTCAGCAATAGATAGGGCTATTGAATTTTGCTTTCTACTTGACCAAGAGACTAAAGAATTTCTAATGAATTGACATGTTCCAGAAGTACTCTTTCTATCAACCCTATAACTTGCAAAATCCAAATTCGAATATCCAATTATTTTAAATGAAGAGCTAAACTTAAGATACCAAATTCTTAAATTTTGAGTTCGCAACAGATACCTTAAAATCCTTTTCATTACTGTCAAATATGATTCTTTTGGATTTGATTGAAATCTAGCACACATAAATAAATACTAAATATGATATTTTGTCAGCTAGCTGTTAAGTAAAGTAAAGATCCAAATATCCCTCTAAATTTCTTTTGATCAATAGATTTTCCCTTAGGGTCCCTATCCAATTGAACTGAAGAACTTATAGGTGTATTGACATGTTTAGCATTATTCTTTTCATACTTTTTGAGGATATTCTTAACATACTTCGACTGACTAAGAAATGTACCCTCCTCAGTTTGCTTAATGCTAAAGCCTAGAAAATAGCTCAAATCTCCCATTAGACTCATCTCAAATTCAAAACTCATTGTTTTAGAAAAATCTTCACAAAGATTTTTATTTGTAGATCCAAAGATGATATCATCAACATAAATTTGTAAAATGAGTATTTTCTCTCTCAATTTCTTCAGAAAGAGAGTTGTGTTCACACTTCCTTTTTCAAAAGATCTCTCAAGTAAGAACGTGCTCAACCTCTCATACCAAGCCCTAGGTGCCTATTTTAATCCGTATAATACCTTTTTAATTTGAAAATATGATTTGGATGTTTAGAATTTTCAAAACCTAGAGGTTGTTCCAAATATACATCCTCTTAGATTATCCTATTTAAAAAGGCACTTTTAACATCCATTTGGTACAATTTAAATCCTCTAAAGTAGGCAAAGGCTAACAAAACCCTAATTATTTCAAGTCTAGCTATAGGGGCAAAAGTCTTCTCAAAATCAATCCCTTCAATCTGATTATACCCCTTAGCAACCATTCTTGCCTTATTTCTAATGACTACTCCTGAGTCATTCATTTTATTCTTGAATTTCCGTTTAGTTCCAACTACACTTTGATCCTTTAGCCTTTTAGGTAATTCCTAAACTTTAATTCTTATAAATTGATTTAATTCGTCCTGCATTACCAATATCCAAAATTCATCCGAAAGTGCTTGATCAATATTTGTGGGTTTTATTATTAAAATAAAGGCTGAATGATTAACTTTTTTGTTTAGTCCATGTCTAGTCCTAACACCCTCACTAGGTTCACCTATAATCAATTCCTTTGGGTGATTTTTAGAAAATCTCAAATCTCCAGGCATCGGGTTTTTTATCTCCAAATTTTCTTCCATATTTATTTTCTCAATATTTTGGGAGTTAATCTCTATCTCTTCCTCTTCAACAATTGGCTCTTCCAAAATTTTAGATTCATTAAATACAACATGCGTGGTCTCCTTAATTACCAAGGTTATTTTATTGAGTACTCTATAAGATTTTCCAACACTTGAGTATCCTATAAAAATTTTTTCATCTAATTTTGGATCAAATTTTCCTAAGGCAGATTTTCCATTATTATGTATGAACACCTTACATCAAAAGACATGCAAATGTGATAAATTAGGTGTTCTTCCCTTTAGTAACTCATAGGGTGTTTTATTTAAGTTTGATCTAACATTCACCCTATTCAGAACATAACATGCCGTGCTAACCACCTCAGCTCAAAAATATTTAGTAAGTGAATATCCTGCCAACATAGCTCGGCGGCTTCTATTAATGTTCTATTTTTCTTTTTGACTATCCCATTCTACTGAGGAGTTCTAGGTGCAGAAAATTATGATCAATTCCTTTCTTCTTATAAAAGTTCTCAAAATTTTCATTCTCAAATTCTCCTACATGATCACTTTGAATTGTCATTATCTCGCATCCTTGTTTTCTTTGAATACAAGTCAAAAATTTCTAAATTTATCAAATGATTCACTCTTATGATGTAAAAATCTAACCCATATGAATATAGAGAAATCATCCACAATTACAAATCCATATACTTATCCTAGACTTACAGTTCCAACTTGTCCAAAAAGATCCATATATAATATCTCCAATGGTTTACTAGTTCTAAGATTCTTATTGGACTTAAAAGAGGACTTCACCTATTTTCCTAATGAAAATGCGTCGCAAAGGTGATCCTTAGTAATGTATAGTTTTGGTATACCTCTCACAATGTTCTTTTGGGTAATCCTCCAAAGGTTTTTCATGCTGTAGTGACAAAGTCTACTATGCCAAAGCCATGATTCATCAGAAATAGTTTTTAAACAAAAAGCAGTAGGAGTTTTGATATAATTTAAGTATAGCATATACAAATTATTTACCCATATACCATTCAAAACATCATTACCATTTAGGCTTAATATGCATCTAGTAGGGAAAATTTTTACACAATATCCTTTATCACGTAGCTGGCTAATACTCAACAAATTATGCTTTAAGCCTTCTACAAGTAGTACATTTTCAATAAAAAAGTTTTTAAGATTTCCAATCATACATGATCCTACCACCTTCCTTATGGTGTTATCTCCAAATGTAACCCTGCCTCAACTCCTAGCTTCCAGCGATATGAATTGAGTAGTATCTCCAATCATATGCTTTGAGCAACCACTGTCCAGGTACCATATGCTCTCACGAAGCCTTGTGTGAGAGTGATCCTACAAAATCATCAAACGTTAGACCTGGGAATTCAAACAAGTTTGGGTTCACCTTTTTGCAAATTAGAAATAAATGCATGTATGATATATCTAGGTTTATGCATCTTACATTTCCACACTAAATAAGTTTTCTTCTTCAATGTACAAGTGTGAGCTATGTGTCCAATCAATCCACAATTATGACATTTGACTCCTGGAAAGGGGTTTCTTAATTTTCTATAGTTTCTCTATCTATTTATGGATTACATAAATTTACGATACAAAATAGGATACATGAAATCTTCAAATCTTGGTGGTATCCTATTATCCTCGAGAGCTTCTATCTTTAGTTTATAAAAAAAATTCATATCTTCCAAGATACAATTTGTATAGTTTACTCAATATAATTTGCTCTCTGATTCATCCTTACTATTTTTAAATTCTTTTTGAAGTTCATCATATGATGATTTTAACTTTTCATGGTTCTAATTCAATTCGTCAAACTCATCAAGTAATTTCATTTGGTTGTTATCAA